TGAATTTGTTTTGCATACAGATCAGAGACTGGAGGTATAGGAAATGATCCATACAGCTACTAGGCCAGTACAGCAATGAAATTAAAAAGATTACTTTCGTGGGTTAAAGGATTACTTCACTGACACACTTTCAGAGGTGGTATTTTTGTACCCTTTACAGCAGAGGGACAGTTTGGCAATTTTTAAGAGGGCTACAAATGAGGTCTAAATTAAGAAATACTTTCTTTATCATTGCTTTTCTTTGTTTTTGTAGATCTAGTACTTTATATAATACATTAAAATTGAATGAGGAGATATTTGGATTAATATTAAATATGTATAGGTAGTACAGTGTTCTAAGCTATGCTTCATAAAGTTAGAGATAATGTGACCGATAAATGCTGGGAGTGATACTAGAAATTTGAAAACTTACCATTTCATCATTGTGCAAAACAGTTGCGTATTTACACTTGCATAATACAGCTGTGTAAAGTTCTGTCCCTTGTGCCTTATGAAAAATATGTAAGAGCTGGAAAGCATCCAGCAAATGGCAAATAAAATCATGACACAGTAGTGGTTTAAAAGATTTATACCCTTCAGAGTGGAATGATCCTTGGGGATATAGTTAGAGATCTTATAGTTGGAAGAGAAATGTGGGTTGATCCAATCCAAGCTATTACATTGCAGAAACTTATTTTATGGTAATCTTGATAAATGGCTGAGCTTTCTGATTGATTCCTGGGCTGTATAGTTAATAGTGCTGATTCTGAAGACATGCTGCCTAGGTTTAAATTCCAGCTTTACCATATACTGGTGAAGTGACCCTGAGCAAATTTTAGCCATCCTGTGACCCATTTTTCTGGCCTAATACTGCCAGCAGCTGTGTCCCTGAAAATAGACAAAGTTAGCAAGGAACCTGACCTCTGACCCCCTCCCATCTAATATCAAGACATTAGTTGGAAATAAAGTGAATGTTAGTGTTATGCATCCCATGAAATGATTTGTGCAGGGACTAGTAGTTACCTTAAAAAAAAAAAAAAAGAAAAATTTCAGTATAGATCAGACTGGTTAAGAGGGAGAGGCTTTGTAGAGCCAGGTGACTGTTGAATTTCTGTTGGTTACTGCATTCTCTGTTTTCTCTTCTGTAATAATATAAATCAGTTCTGTTCCTTTTGTTGTCAGTTCTTCACCTTACCAAATGTAAAATTATAAAAAGCATAGATTCGGAGAAAGTAAACTTTTCCCCCGAAATTTCATAGTTTTAGAGAGTATTTTGTATATTTTAGATAAAATTTAGGAATATTAAAATGGACCATTAGTGTATAATTTTGCAGAGCTCTTTAATTCAAGGAATTATCTGAGTTTTGGAAATTCAAAGTGAGTTTTAAAGTATTCTGAATAGTGTATTATTCAGATTCATCAGTGGTGACAGAAATCTTCATAAGAGGGCTTAAACAAGATAGGAGCATTTGCCTGTCCTGTAAAAGTTTGAGCAGGTAGTTAATAAGACTGTTGTCATGTCCAGCTGAGTCAAAAGTAAGGGTTCAGAATGGTGGCTTTGAAGTTTCGGGGCTTGGGATAGAGGAAGGGATGAGAGGAAGCTGCCAGGGACATTTCTACTTACGTGTTATTTTGGTTTGGATCTAAAATGTCCCCCAAATTCCTTGTGTTGAAGGCTTGGTTGCTAGCTTCTGCACTTTGAGGAAGTGATTGGGTCATGAGGGCTCTAACTTCATCAGTTGATGAGTTTATAGCTGTGAATAGGCCATTAGGATGTGGTCATGGCATGGGTCCTGGTCCTGTAGGAGGTGTGCCCTTGGGGACTGTGTCTTGTCTTCAGCCCTTTGTTGTGGCACATTCTGCTTCCTGGATGCCGTGAAGTGAGCAGCTTTCTGTGCCACATACCATTATGCCATGATGTTTCACTACAGGCCCGAAGACGATGGTTTCAAAATAATCCATTTCTCTTCGAAATTGTTTTTCTCAGGTATTTTGTCAGGGTGATCAAAAGTTGACTAATACATTTTATTGGCAAGAACATCCAGTTATAAAACATGCTAGGTTGCAGTGTGTTTTTTGAGTAGCTATTTGCTCAGATGTAATTTGGGAGTCATACCTGGGAATGAAAGGTACAGTAGATACTGGCAGACAAAAACCAGTGTGGCAGAACCACTTTATTTACCACTTATATCCCAATTATATTTACCAATTATATAAGTATAATTAGTAGTTTTTACTATAGTAGGCATTCATTAAATAGCTGTTCACTGGGTGCATGTCCTTCATTGTCCCTTATAAAATGGCTACTGCCCTAGATATTTACTTATATACATAATAAATATGGCAAGTCTGTCCATCTTCATTATTTTTATAATTTTCTTTCTCATCTACCCTTTACAAACAGTATTCCTGACAGTCTTTAGACAAATGAAATACCATACAAAATTTACTTCAGGTCTTTCATCACTGCTATTTTTTCCCCTTCTAAAACTTGGAGGCCTATTAAAAATCTTTTCACGTGTCTGATCAACATATCCCTTATGGGTAGAAATTTAGCAAATATTTTTAGATTGAATAAATGAATAGGAATAAAACTTTGATGAATGTAAGCTTTTTAATTTCTTTCCTTTTGACTTGCATAAACTTCATATATATATAATATATATTTTATATATATAGTGTTGGAATTTCAATTGGATTGCACTGAATCTGTATAGCAGTTTTGGTAGTATGGCCATTTTCACTATATTGATTCTTCCTACCCAGGAGCAGGGGGCATCTTTCCATTTTCTTATTATATATATATGAAGTTTTTATTAAATCTGGTTTTCAGATGGAGTGTGATTATGAAAAATTATTTTTGATTTAATTATGGTTAAGTACTAATTCACTTCAGGAATTTCTAGGCAAAAGAGGCTAGTATAATTCAAAAAGGGGGAATTCTTAATGCATTGGACCCCTAGTCATCAGTTATCTAATTAGTTTATCAGTATACATAACCATTTCAAGGAAAACACCATTTCTTTTTTGTTGTTTCATGGAGAAAAATTTTTTTATGTATTAAGATAAAACCGTTATTTCCTCAGATGTCAGAGAAAGTAATATTTTATCATTATATCATTTTCTGAGTGAATTCATTTACTTTTTGTTTGCTTGTTTTCCAGATTAACCATGTGGCAGTAAAAACAAAACAAAACAAAAGATCCATCTGCTTGGCTATTAGGAGTCCTTGCTCTTCTTTGATCTGGGAAGATCACAATAGATAGTAATTTTACTTACCAAATAGGAAAAGAGAAGTTGAATTCTTCTCTATTATATTGACAAGAGGATTGCAGTGCTGGTTACCTTCCTTGAAGTCCTCAGGGATTTGGAGAGAGATGTCTTGTTAGGTCCTCCTTGTTAGACAAGTATTTGGGTATAAAATCTCAAAGGTGAGACATAAACTAGGTAGACATCAAGTAACTATTTTGGTTATTTGCACTGAAGAGCAAGTCCCTGAAATTAATGATTTTTTGGGATCGTGGAAATGAATTTTAGTGAATTTGTTTTGCTTAAACTTGATTTCTCCCAATTTGTTTATGTCCTGTGAAAGTAACTTTAAGATTTGGTAAAGTTATAATTTAATGCTTAAGAATGTTATTAAGATATAAGTAACTTCCTGTGACAGAAAACTCATTTCTTACTAAATTGGTCATTTCATGTTTGGATTACTCTGACTGGGCATTATTAAAAATGTTGGTTCCAAAGTCATTGCTACTCCTATTTTGTCATAATGAGTGAAGTCTGACTGAGAGAAATAACGTAGGTGATATCAGCTGACTTTATTTCTAGCCTAGATTACGTACCATGAAGTAAAATATGGAACACAGGTTTGGCAGTGGAAGAGAAGATCAATGCAGAATTTAATTTTAAATATGTTGAATTTGAGGTGTTTATGGGATATTAATCTCAGAACTGAGAAGTACCCATGCCATGGTTTGATAGCTGAAAGACCTTATGTGACCCTTTGTTTTCAGTAGGTGAATAGGGGCAGAGTCCTGATGACAATGGATTTCAGAATGGTAATGAGCGAGGAAGGAAAGAAAATATAGACTACTGTTTTGAGAAATTTTGTGAGACTAATTTTGGAAACTAAAGAAGGATACTGGATACATGGAAGATTTTTGGGGGAGTGTTGATGGGCTGAAGAGAATGGTATTTGGGGTGGAAATATGAAATATGATGAAAAGTACCCTTTTTGGGGTAGATTCAAGGACACAGGTTGATGAGACTGGCCTTGAGCAGGAGGAGGACCACACATGCCTGTAGCTGGAGGAAAGAGGGGTGGAATAGAAGCCTTTAATACAGGAGAGCACTCTTAATATCTTCATTTTACCCAAAGAGAGGAAAAAAGGGCGTTTGTGTGCTGAAAGGTGTCGAGGTACAGGTTTTGAAGAGAATAGGGAAGTTTTGGGAATTAAGGGATTTTTTTTCCATCTGAGCAATATTCAAGGATTATCACCATTAGTGTGGAGAAAATGAATATATTACTGAAAAAAAGGGAAGTGTGTTGTTTAACATGGCTTTATGGAAAAAGCAAAAAAAAAGGGCCACATGTAAATTTTCTGATGAGACAGTAATGAAACTAATTCTAGGTTTTTAATTTGTTACAGCAGTTTATTTTTCTATAATTAGAATTAAGTAGCAGAGGAGAAATAAGGAGAAAATACAATAGATTTTATTCTGTTTAAAAGTTTTTCTGAAGTTGATTATATTTTTATGTGGTAGTCTACAATTCAATAGATCTTTCGACAGATGTGTAGTCCACTTGTCTGCAATACCAAGGAAAGAGAGCTGACCAAGGTGTGGTGTCTAAACTGCTCTTGAGGAGCACTGCTCACCTAGAAGCCACAGTGACAGAGCTTCAGTTCCATGCAGCAGATGATGCAGGCGTGAATTAAATGTGCCAGCAAGTCTAGGGCACAGAGGGAGGAAGCGTGAGTGGTGACTATGCTGACATGACAGCACATTTTCCCCTTCTGCTTTTCTTTAGTTGGAGAACATCAGTTGACAGGCCATAAGGTGGCAGTTAAAATATTAAATAGACAGAAGATTCGCAGTTTAGATGTTGTTGGAAAAATAAAACGAGAAATTCAGAATCTGAAACTCTTTCGCCATCCTCACATTATCAAACTGTAAGTACTTTATGCTTGATCATATAAGAGAAAACTGTTTTGAAATAGTTTTAATAGAATTTTACAGATACTTATCTTGGGTTGTCCTTACAAAAACATCACCTTTTCATGTTTGTTTAACTGATGAAATAATCTTTGCACACTCTTGATTTAGAATTAAATTGGTACTGAGTTTAAGTGATAAGTGCAGCCTTGAAAGTTGACTTGTTAGTCTGTACCTTAGAGGTCAGATAGGCATTGGATATTCCTAAGTTGGTTCATTTTTATAATTTTTTTAGTCACTTTCCATTAACATACCAGTATATTTTATTTTTGGAAAGCAGAAAGTAATTGTTAAAGATTATCCTACCATAGTATATAATTTGCAGAACTGCAAATAATTCTATAATTGCCAGTAAATACAATTTTTAGGAAATCAAATTAATTATTTTGGGAATAATTACAAACTTTAAAGATAAATATTAAGAGAAATAAGGTAACTAATTAAGTAAAAGATACACTCATAATTAACCTAAAATTGTTTAAACTCATAAAAATTTATATAGTAAATATGCAGAAGTATTCTTTTAAATTATTTGAAGTTGCAGTTTAATGTTCATTGAGAAAATGTAACATTTTAGGCATTGAAAATTATTTTTAATTGTAAAGTTTAATAGTCTTACAAATATTAATTGCAGTTACTGAGTACCTGATAGAGGCAAGAAGCTATGGGAGCATTTTATATATGTGGCTTCATGTTATCCTCATGATAAACTGATATAAGGTAGTCATATTTATAGACAAGGAGACTGAATAGCTAGTGAACATCCTAGCTTGTCCAAGGTGATGTACAGCTAGTAAGTTGCATAGCTGGCAGTTTAGTTCCCTGGCTGGCAGTTGAATACTCTGCTGTCTGTATTCTATCACTCTCAAAACTGAGTTCTATAAATCTCTTTTAAAGGAAAAGTAAATTTTTGCATTCCTGGTTTTAACTTGATTTCAAAATTACCATTAAATATGTAGAAACAAAGAACTAGGTATAAACCTCAAGTATAGTTTCAAAACAACTATGAAGCCAAAAAGTCAAATTTTAAATGCAGTTAAAACAAAATGACATTTAAGCCAGGCAGTGTGGCACATACCTGTCATCCCAGCTACTCTGGTGGCTGAGGCATGAGGTGGTTCCTCGAGCGCAGCCTGAGGCCACTGTGACCTTGTTTCAAAATAAAAATGTACTTTTACATACTACATAAAATATATTATTTATACTCTATACTTTCAGCCACATTGCCTCTTTAATTGTAGATCTGAATTATAAAAATGATACTCATGTATTCTTGCTACTGAACAGACTTACTAATATAATTTATAATAGAGTGATTTAAACAGAGAGGACTGCCTTATGCTTAGAATGGCTTTGCTTGTTTTATGTAGTGTTGACTAACTGCCAAAAATAGTTCTCTTGTTGCAAACTGGGCCTCTAAATCTTTACTTAAAAGTTCACTCGATCATAAACATTGAAAGTGAGGCTACTTGACTTGCACAGCAGCCCTTGGTGTTTTTTGTTTTTTGGGGTTTTTTTTGTTTGTTTGTTTTTTGAGGCAGTCTGACTAAACTGCCCAGACTGTATTTGAATTTGGCAGTCCTTCTGCCACAGTCTTCCAAGTAGCTGGGATTACAAGCATGTGCCACCATAATTTTAAAAGATTCTTGTAAAATACCCCACCTATAAGCTTCGTGACCCATCTCTCCTGTTCTTTGTTTTTTTAACTTTAAAATGGTATGTTTCATTGTGTTATTTAAGTATTAAATGTATTGCCATTAGTAAAATACCTAGTATTTAATGAGCATTGATTGGCTCAAAAGCAGAAATTAGAAATCTGTGAGCTGAATCCAGTTTTCTTTCATGATTCTGGATGGTTTTCACTGAACAGAAACTGTTCATATCTGACTTGTCTCCATGTTAGTAATATCTTAGTTGCTGAGTGACTTCTAAGCTAAATCTCTTTGTTTTTCATTGAGTGACTACTTTTTTGTGAGAGGAGAAAGCTGAAATGGTCAGACTCAAAGTAGCATTTGCCCAAGTGGGCTTACAGAAGGAAGCCGTATCTCTGTTTGCCTTATGTCTTGATCTCTTTGCTGTTTAGATGCTACCCCTGGAAAGCCCCATTTAGAATATGTGTCCTAGTTCCTATTCTGTTCCTAAAAGCACAGGTTACAGGTTACTAAGCAGTTACAATTGTCATGGAGATTTACATCTTATTTTTATGTCATATTTATTATTGTTTCTTCATTTCTATAACTAATTTTTGTTTGATTCTCATTTTGATTTATAGTTATTTGATTAATTACTATTTATGTTTTCTGAAGGGGTTATAGAACATTTTCAGAGTGGTCAGAAAGTAATTGGCTGAGGTGGATTTAGTGTTTATAATAGTTCTGGCTTTAAGCCTTGAGCTTTAGTTCATTTAACCACATCACATAATTGGGGATCTGAATTACAATTTTTTGAAAAAGGTGTTCATGTATTCTTTCTCCTGAACATGCTTATAGCTTCTAGAAGAGTCAGTGATATAAATAGGGAGAGAGGCCTGATTCTAGAGTGGCTTTACTTGTTTCATGCAGCCTTGACTAACTGCCAAAAATAGTTCTCTTGTTGCCAATAGACCTCTAGAATTAGCCATAGAGTTTGAATACCAAAGTGTAATAGATATTTACTGAATGATTTTTATATTAATTCAGATTGAAAAAAAATGTTTATTTCAGCCTAAAACTCATTGGTGGAATACTAAAAGAAGCAAATAGAATTTAAAGAAAAATGAAAACTTTATCACAGACTAGAATTTGTTGAGTTGATTTTTGTCCCTGTCCCCCCCCACATAGTTCTTAGGAAAAATGATTTTAATTGGTCAGAAGATTAGTACTTTCTAGTTTGGATGAGATTTTTTTGCCTGACTTCTTATTTAGTTTTAGTCTTATTAACCTATAGACAGTTCTTTAGAACTACATATATTTTATATATACATATATATGTGTGTGTATGTATGTGTGTGTATGTGTATATATATATATATACACATACATACATATATATATATATATTTACCTACCACCTCAGCTTTCAGTGTTGTAGTTCCTAGGTTTCTATGACCCCAGAGTCTGCTTGTTTTTGTTTTTGATTTTGCCTCTTAAAACTTTCTCTTGTTGGCCTGTAACAGTTAAGCTCAATCGTCAACTTAATTTGCTTGGGAGCTGCCTAGGGGATTGGTAGAGCACAGTTCTGGGTGTGTCTGGGTAGGTTATGGGGTTGTGATCTTGAGGTCTATATCTCATCTCTGGTCCCTGCTGTAATATTCTCTTGCTGTGCTTACTGGCCACTGTGAACTGAGCAGCTTTGCTCTTCCACACCCTTCTTGTGAAGCCATGGACTGAATCCTTTGAAAGTGTAAGCCAAATTAAATTCCTGCTTTAAGTGGTGGCTATCAAGTGTTGTGTTCCAGCAGTGTGAAAGCTGACTAATGCAGGGCCTCTCTTTATCTTCCTGCCCACTAAATACATCATTTTAACATACTGAACCAGTGTAATTTTCTTAGTGAACCCTCTTTGGGTGATGTCATTACTATAGTCATCATTAGTTGTTTATTCAAAGGAAGCACAAATCTGTATTTCTACTCTACTTTTTTATTTTCCTGAATTCTGAAACATTTATTGAAGTATTTATTGGATGTTTCTATTCTCAAGTACAAAATCATATGAAATTTGGAACTAAATTGAACTTTTTTCAGATTTATTCTTTTTTTTCTTTTTCTTTTCGTGATTGAAAATATCATTCATGCAATTTCCTAAACTCAAAATTTAAGCATTATCTTTTGTTGCTCCATTTTCTTCAACCCTTTCTATAATTAAGTTCTGTGGCACTTTTTCCTAAGTGTCCTCTGAATCTATTCACTTTGTACTGACTGTAAAGTTAACATATTCTCTTGCTTGTTGTACTTCTTCTGTTACCTCTACCTGGAAAACATTACCTACACCTCCCTTTGCTGCCAATTCCACTTGTCTTTTAGATCTTGGCAGACTGGGTTAAGCTGCATCTTCTTGGCTGCTAGGGCTCCCAACATTGACTTCCTGCAAAGCCCTCAACTGTGTGCTATAATTGTTTCTTATTGGTATCCCCCACACCCTGAATTCCTTATGAGAAGGAGCTATATTTTTAAATACTTTTTCATTTATTTAAAAATTTTTATTGAACATCTTTGAGACAAGTACTGATCTAAATTTGAGGATACAATGGTGAAAGCGTTTCTGATCTTGTCACATTTATTTTCTAGTGGAGATTGGTAGTAGGTAAACAAATGGGACAGGATTATTTTAGGTAGTGATGAGTGCTGTGAGAAGTGAAACAGTTCTGTCATGGAGTGATACTAGGAAGGAGACATCTTTATCACTACACTGTGCAGGTTTAAAATTTCATCAAATTAATGGGAATTAATGAATCTAATCTTTGACCAGTAGTATCTGCTTGTATCTCGGATAGAGACACATTATGTCTCTGGAAGTACATGTCAACTAGTTTTTCAAATGAAAACAAATCTGATCAAGTTTCTAGATTTAAGATTAGAAATAGAACTTGTGCATTATAGGATGGACCCGCAAAATTGGAGCTGCAGAATCCTCTATAGGACAAACCAACTGATTTCTTCTGAAACACACACACAAATACACAGACAAAAAATAACTTCCAGTGGAGGATCAGCATATGAGTTAAAAGACCTAAGAAATGTATCAACCATTTGCAGAGTATCGTCTATATTTGGATCCTAATTTTTTAAAAAAGAATATAAGTAATTTAAAAAACCTTCTGATTGCATATTTTGATGAAATTAATGATTTTTCTACATGTATGCCTGATAACATATTGTATATCATAGATACCACATGCATATATATATACATGTACACATTTTAAAAGCTGTGTTTTAGAGATAAGTATGGAACTATTTATAGAGAAAATGAAAGTCAAA